CATCATCCTGACCGCCGTAGGAGGGGTGTTTACCTGCACAGCACACAAGCACTCTGCACCCATTTCTCCGGCTCCTCTAGCGTTCGTACATCGCATCGCGTTGGCCACTCGTGCTTATAGGGCGTGCGCTGTCCATAGACATTCGCAATTGAGTCTCGTGTCTCGAATACTTTGGTCGTCATTGTGTTGTAGCCTCAGCCGATCTTATAACGGGGCAATGTGCTTTACATAGGCCAATAACCCCCGCGACTGATAGTCAAGACTCGAATGTGGGTTTCTCTTTTTCTGATTTCAAAATCAATCCACCGCTGTACATTAATTGCCCTGGACTCTCTGCTCAATCCGTGGAGAATTGAAGATGAAGCCAGACGCAGGGACCTCTGCTTGACCCCGCTGACGTAGCGATTCGGCATTTTCGGCCCCATCGCGCAGCATCATGGAGATAACTTTACCTAATAGGGGAAGTAGAGTTTTGCCCAAAGCTTGTTGTCGGCAATTTGTGCACTCAGAGTGTCATGGATACTGGTTCAGCAAACAAGGGGTGGACAAGACAGCGTTTAAGGGTCTGTAATTGCAATGACTCCAAAGTGACGCCATCCATCAACATCCGCACTCGGCTCTCTGCGGCATCCACAAAATGCTTCTAAACAGGCCTCGTGGAGTCAAGATTCCTGTTTACGAACAGTTAGTTGGTGTCTGACGGAACGGGAATAGTGCTAGCCGCGTGCAGGCCGGCAATTGGCGTCGAGGTCTATCGGAGGAGTTGAGCAGACTCGTGAGCAGTAAACCTCATCCCACAATCTTACAAAAAGACCTGATCTCATCGGAAGATATTGATACTACATTAGGTGGTGAAATGAGCGATTAATCTGCGGCATCGGAATTATGGCTATCCTTTATCCTGAGGCACTACAACTGATTGAGGCGGAGGCTCAGCAACATCGCGACGCCTTTGTCGGTGATGGGGAACCCGTTCCTATCAGCCAGGCAAGGAATCGCGTTGCTCGCGAGACCGTAACAAGTCCCATATCGACCCCAAAGTTCGATACCTCTGCTATGGACGGGTATGCGCTGAGCTCCTCTGCGACACAGGATGCGACCATCGACCGCCCGGTGACATTTGAAGTCAAAGGCATGATCGCTGCAGGAGATGAGCCTTTGCTGATTGCCGCTGCCGAACAATCGGGGGACCCTGTGTGCGTGGAGATCATGACAGGAGCCCCCTTCCCGACCAGCGTGAGTGGCGCTGAATTGGACTGTTGCGTGCGAAACGAGGATGTGACAGTCACCGTGGACGAAGCGTCCAACAGCCGCTATATTCGAGTATTCAAGCCAGTGAAAGCGCGGCAGAACCGAAGGTTTGCAGGCAGCGACTTTAAGAAAAGCGACATCCTTGTTGGCGCAGGAGAAGTGGTCCATCCAGGCCACATCCTGTCAATGGCATCGGTTGGAATCACAGAGATTGCAGTCATGCACAAGCCTCGAATAGCTGTCGTCTCTACTGGCTCGGAGCTATTGCCTTCTTCGCTTGATCAATCGCCCTTACATCGGATCAGCGACGCGAACGGACCATATCTAACTGCGACCTTGGAGAGTTGGGGTGCTTCAGTGGACTTTTTGGGAATCGTCCCTGATCATGCCGAAAGCCTAGAACAGGCTCTGGGTGGGATTCTCACAAAGAAGCAATATGACGTAATCATCACCTCTGGAGCCGTTTCCGCCGGACGTTGCGACTTGATTCCTATGGTGATTCGTCGATTGAATGCTCGAGTTGTGTTTCACAAGGTGGCCATGAGGCCAGGGCATCCTGTCCTTTTCGCCCAGATTCCCGAATCTTCAAGCAACGATCACCATCTCGGCAGAGAAACCGCGTTCTTTGGGTTGCCCGGAAACCCCGTAGCCAGTGCTGCCTGTCTGCGCTTCTTGGTCCTTCCATATTTGAAATACCTACAGCTGCAGCAACCAGACGATCCAGCGTATGCATATCTTCTCCCTCCTGACGACGTGGAAACCTCAACCACCAAAGAACATCCAGTAGTATCTACAGTCCGCGGGGACATGGACATCTTCCGACCGGCACTGGTCCGCAACTCGTCAGGCCATGTACAGGTACAGCTCATCCAGGATCACAGTCCAGGAAAGATCAAGCCTTTTCTGCATTCGAATTGTTGGATCCATATTCACCGAGGTGTTTTGGAATTGAAAGCAGGTGACATTGTCGACATTTACCCAAGTCACTGAGTTCCTCTTGCGGACCAACTTCTCCCTCCTTTATGAACCCGCTTGGGGTTTGGCTTCCATGTTCGACGCCAGATCCAAATCGGCTGGCGTATTGACATTGAAGATCCACTTCTCGTCGCGCGGTCGTATCGTCTTGCCACGCAAACGCTTCACCACCGCACTGGGTCCGAGAATTCCATTTTGAATGTTCTCTTTGAGTACGCGCAGTGCCTCCGGAGACCAGACGCTTAGTAAAGGCTCACAGAAGCCATCTCTATTCTGAAAACAGATGACTGGCTCAGTCCATTCGCATCTGAGTTGAGACAGCGCAGCGACAGATATAAATGGATAGTCACAGGCAACTACCAACCAGTGAGCACTTTCGTCCTGATGATGTGCAGCGAGCAACCCGGCTGCGGGACCAATTCCGGTGCTGTCATGTTTGCTGGGTACTCCGGGACCGTCGTAGACTACATGTACCGGGAAAGTGATAGCCCCGTGGGTGAGAATCAGTTGATTTTTTGTGACGGCAGTGATATGGCGATCGTTCTCGATGGCTTTTAATGAGTCGTGATCGCGCAGTGAGAGAAACACCACATCTGACTCGGGACATGCCTCGCGTAGGATGCTCAGCAGATGGACGAACAAGGGGACATCACCGACGACACGTAAGAGTTCTTTGCGAATGCCCATTCGCGATGAATGGCCACCCGCCAACAAAAGTGGCTTAAGAACAGGCATCGACGATATTAAAACCGACAATAGTTCTTCTGAATAGAAAAGCCAGGACAGCGTTAATTGTGGGTTAACCCCTCTTTTAAAGCTAGAACCATGTGGGGAACAACCCTCCAGTCAAAGTGACGACATACATCGGCCTTGAATGTGATCTATAGTCCTTAATTTATGCAGGTCATGTCATTCAAATATATACATTTAAGTCCATGTCTCCAGAATGAATATTTCACCATGCTTCCCCGTAGTTCGAGTGCGACCGATATTTTCTCGATCGCGCTGTTCCAACACGTCGCTGTCGAACCGAGGATCCAAAATGTGACATGCTGTACAGTATTCAAATAAGCTTACTGCATGCATTGTGGCAAGGCAACCAATTACAGGATAACAACCTTTTATCTTGGTTACACAAGGATGCGAGGGGTAACATACACGCGTATTGGATAACGTGGTTGGAGAGGTATAAAGGAGGCTGCGTTTCCTTGTGTATGTAGCCCTCGACAGCATATAGGCATATGCTAACCTAGCAAAACTATGATTTACCTTCTAATCTCCGTGATACATTTTGCATCAGCCCTCTTTGCTGCCCTGCAACAAGACTACACCTCGCTTAATGTTGATCTGTCTGGTGTGGCCCACGTCACTGCCCTTTTTTCCTATCCCAACTGTGCCACACGTTGCCCAAATCCCCCACCTAGTCTCGACGATACCGTCAAGCATTGGCTGGCTGCCAGTGTCCGTCGTGATGGATATACAAATGCTACCATAAACATTCATCGGGAACAGGACAATATTACAGCCACAATTACCGGCGTGCCTCCCGACTACGGCCAATTCATTACGAGCTTCCTGGACCAAGGGTCTTCCGGGCTCTCTGATACAGAGAGGTTGAAGAAAGATGGCAAGTGGAAGAATGACTGGTACTACTTTCTCCCGCTAGGCTTGGCTTTGCGGAACCACCCTACCGTGCAACTCTTACACTTTCCCCCGGACACGGTCATGATGCAAACCCAGGATTACCTCGAAACCGCCACCACTCGACGCTGGGCTAGCCTGTTGGTTATTAACGGAGTTGTGGACAATGAGACAGACAGCTACCAGCGGATCATAGATATTGCACCCATCGCTGCACCCGCTAGCGCCGGGGCAGAACTGGAGGGCACCTACAATTACTACAACGAGTACAGCAGCAATCTAATCCGACAATGGACGAGGCCAATGGTGAACAGCCATACACCGCGCCCCATGGTTGCCTTTGGGGGCCCTGCCCGCCAGTGGCTAGCGGACTATTATAAGCTGCCTAAAGTAAACGTGCTCACTCTGACGAACATCACTCCCGTTGGAGGACAGGTAGTGCCGGTCCTGGGAGCGAACCACCCGAGCAAAATCTGGTACGCTGCAAACATCACTCTCAATCATGGAAACGAGACCCAAGCAGATATCGTTGGCTTGCGAACCATGACGGAAGACCTCACCAGTGCTTGTTGGCAGGCCAGCATGGGCAAGGACGCAGCCAGTAACCCGGCAGTTGCCCTTCAAAAATGCTCGGTGCAGTGGCAGCAAACAAGGAGGAAGGAAGCATGCAAGTCATTTTACACCTCTATACGCCATCTCAGTGAGCCAGCAGCTGAGAAAAAGTGTAGTAGTTAATGGTTGCCTTTGTGGCATTTGAGAGAGGGCTACTATAGCTGGGCGTGGCCTCGAGCATTCAAGAAGCTGCTATCGTTGATTTGGATATTCGTGCAGATAGCATAATCGCTGCCATCATGAGATGAGTCTGTGCGAGCTACAGTAGTGGCCTTATAGTCCTAGAACTGTATCGCGAGGCACATAACCTAGAATATGAGGACCTGTGAAATCGACGCCGAAATGACTGTCACTGAGGCTATAAACGGCCGCATTTCCACCTGTGAATTCCCTTATTGAGCTGCTGCTTTAGCACTTGAGCATGTGCTATACACCACTATCTACGGCGGATCGCCAAGTGATCAACTTTGTTATTACTCGCATCTCATGATCGTTCAAGACAGGAATTATCGATGGACTACTCAGTTCTTCATACCCTCGAACACCCCGAGAAACCCCTGCAGCAGTCTGACACACTCGTCGATCTGATTCAGAAACGGCGCACAGTGACTGCACACCATCTCCTCAACAATCCAATCCTTCTGGGTAGCGGCGATCATGGCACGCTGGGCTCCCTCAGGAACAGCATTGTCCAGGGTAGGAACAATAAAGGCCAATCTTCCGGCATATGCCTGGTCTGCCCACGCGGGAGCAGGTTGCGGGGAGTTGAACGCCAACGTAGAATGAGGCCGGATGTAACCCGCCAGATTTTGGGCCACCTCCTGATCAACATCGGCCGCAAAGTTGCCAACAGGGTCGTCGGGGATGTTCACTTTGTCGTATGGCTACAGAACGTTAATCATCTCTTCAGATTCACCTAAGCCGTAGGAAAGAGTGGTTGTACCTTGTCCAATAAAATCCACGGGGGTAGACTCCCTCCTTGCAGTCCTGCACAACTTAATCCTTCCGGAACGAGGAAAGCTGCGATGAACACCATTCCCACGATGCCACCAGACTTGCCTTGTTGCATTCGTTCTGTTTTGCTGAGGCCCTTAGCAGCCGCAGGTCCAGGCATTCCTGCATAGGAGTGCATGACGAGAAGGACATCGCGGCCCTCGTCTTCCACGATTGGACGAATGACGCTGGCGATGGTATCAGAATCAGCTTTGCAGTCTGCGCTCGTGGGATCCACGGGGTCCAGAGACGGGTATCCAGCAGAGCGGACAGGATGCCCGGCCTTGGTGAGAGCTTCGAGGAAACGTTGATAAAAGGCTGGAATGATCCATGCGCCCGGGACGAAGACGATAGTGGCCATTGTATTACGGTGTAGTTAATCAATTGTGGAGGATAGACACAGTCTAATGACGTCCAAGTTGAATCAGGCTCTTAATGTGTAGATATATGATCTGGGCAATTAGTGGAAAAACGCATCTCGGCCGCCACCTCATTTCCCCATTCAGGGATCCTGATCCTTCCCATGCTTAGCTCAGGATCATCTTGATCTGCGCCTCCTCATAGTTCGGCGACCGTCTCCGATGGGAAGACCAATTAAAATCGGTTACTGTTCATTGGGTAGTAGGGCAACCGCCAAATTCATTTCCTACAAAGATCTGACCTGCGACCTGTCTTCTTGTGAGCATGTCCACCTTGCGTATACCACAGGTGCTGCTTCTCTGGCAGCATGGACTTCACCGCCCCCACCCGGGTTGGATCTCTCGGAATCCAAACGTGCCGATCTATATGCGGCATATTCATCCACGTATGGGGCTGGCCGTGGTGGCAGTGCTGCTGCGGTAGCTGCGTCTTACCTGGGTGTCCAAGGTGGGACTGTAGTGGGATGATTACTTGATTTGCATTGCTGGGTGAGTATCGCAGCTGGTGCTGGTGAGGAGAATACTCTGACGAGGCTGAGGCAGGCCATGGTAACCGGAGAATACGTCGACATGATCATCTGGTTGTATCGAGGCGTGGGAGGTGGGAACACACATCTACCCTCTTGGGATGACCGGCTTCACGAACTTCTTCATCAACCTCTTTACCTGCGAATCTTCTATACACTGTCCATCTGTCTGACCAAAATCTCCATCTTGATGTTCTAGTGGCGCATCTTCAGCACCACCAACATCCGTATCGCGATATATATGTCATTATTTTTCTGGTAACCGGCTGGGGGTTGGGAGTCGTACGATTATTGGTTCGGCTACGCGACTGAATGCCTCATATACGTTGGCGTATCTATCATTACCATCTAAGCTTACACTGTCAGGAATAACCCGTTTTAATCTAGTTGGCGATCTGGACAACCTCAGCGGGCGGATACTTGTCACCATACTCAGACACGATCCATTGGCAAAACTCCTCCCACTGCTGATTCCAATATTGAATGCGCTGGGCTTTGATACCCTCGCCACGTGCGGCCAGATCAATATCCCGAAGCCAGTCGGCATCGGACTGGTCCTCAAAGTTCGACCAGCGAAGGCTGTTCTGCGCCAGAGCCCCCTACGGTTCGTTAGCTCTAGTTCTGGTGCGAACAGGCTTTGACAGGGAGACCTACCAGTCCAGCCAGTCCAATGTTATCGAATCCTTGGATGGTTTGATAGAAATCATAGCTCAGACCAGCAATGTCCTGTCCAAGAATGGCCGGGTCGTCGTTGCTGATTGCCGTGGGGACACCATGGGCGATCATCGCAGGGAGAGGATGATGGAGGATATCCGTCGCCAGACGCAGCACTTCGTTGGAGATGGGGCACACTTCGACCATGACTGCCTTTTCAATCACCTCCTCCATGAGAGTTGGGTGCTTGTATAGGGAGAACCCGTGGCCGATGCGGCGGGAATTGAAGAGAATGGCATCTACCAAGTTGTAGTCGGTCGAGTTGCCGTCTCCGAGTGTCTCACCAGCGTGGAAAAAGAAGGGGATTGTGAGATTCAGATACTCTGTCTGTTCCCGGAACCAGATCAGTTCGGGGGCCAGGTCTGACAGCGGACGACCCAGATCCTCCTGTGCGACCAAATCGTAACCACTGAACAGCTCCGGAAACCTTTGCTTGCGCTCAAGGGCAATCTTCATGCCTGAGACAGTTCAGCCGCATTCTCAGTATCTCCCAGAAGGACGACTTACTCTTGGTGATTTCCTCCCGGTTCTGGCTGCGAATGTCGGACCAGATGACGCGGGCCCCCCAGAAATTCTTCCCCTTGTCGGTAGCCTGGAACTTTTCAATCTCCTCAATCATCACATTCCACCAGACATCGAGATTGGGATCAATGTCCTCCTGCCCGGTGTGAACCAATTGACCGCTGGAGCCACCACTGCGGATTTCCACCCAGTTGATGCCATCGTCGGCCAAGCCTTCAAACAGCTTCTGATAGAATGTCCTCACGATAGGCTCATAGTTGATCATGGTATCTGCAGGACCAAAGCACGCTTCAAAGCGTCTCCAGATCTCGTCGACACCCAGCTCGTGGCGGATCGACTCGTCCGGAAGGATGGTCAGCTTGGACTTGATGAAATCCATAAAGCCTTGCCGGCCACCCGGGAACTGGTCGGCGGCAATTTGGACCGAGACAGGGGTGTTGGGAACGTAATTGACAGAGGAGATCGCTGCAGCCGACGTGTTTATGGTCGAGTTCACATGCGCGAAAGCGACCGTGGCATTTTCTGCGCTCTGCTCATCCAGAATCGGTTGCGACGTGGAGATGACCATGCCTTCGGTCGCAAGAATGGTCTCGAGAATGGTTCCAAAGGGCAGCATGGCCGACAAGTGTGCATGTAACAGGGCACCCTTGGGCATGCGCTTGACAATCTTCCACAGCTTCGTGGAATTGATGTTCGACCGCGCGAGTGGGAACATCTCCCCGGCAAAACGCTCATCCTCTGGATGCTCGAACGTGCCATACTGCCGCCAATAGTCATCAGTCTCGTCCTGCCGAATCGCCTGGACGATGGCATCCGCCTGTCGAGCGACCGTCGAGAGGTTCAGCCGAAACTCGTGATCTACAGCCCAGTCAGTATCAATCGTCACTAGCGAGGCATGGCCGCGGCATACCTTGTCGCTGCCTCTTTTCTATGGTGATCATAGCCGATCGAGCCTTGAGATGGCGCTGCACGGCACTGCCATTCGGATCCGGGGCGTCATCAGGAATGACTTTCGCCGCGGTGAGCGACAGACACAGCGCATAGGCCACGAGACTCGGCAGCTTCATGGTGATCAGGGCCCCTTGTCACTTGGCAGGATGGAGAAGAAGAATTCGGACAGCTCTAACATGTCCCGCTGAAGCTTATTATATGACCATTTGGGCCAGTGTCTCTGAGTGCACCGTAGAGAGGCACAGAAAAGCGTATTATTGCCGCAATGTTTTGATCAGCTCAACAGGGATTGTCCCGATCAGCCGGCCCTACTTAGATTCTCCGGCTCATGTAAGTGGTGGATTGTATCCAACACTATTGGGTGGACCCTCCTGTGCCTTGGTTGGGGGCCAGGTTGCTGTTGCTGTTAGGTCATGGCTCATGTGGTGTGCCTGCTCTTATGAGTCAGGGCACACCTGCCCTACATGTTAGGGACTGTTTCCAGGGTGACGCGCGCATCGGTTAACACATTTGTCATCTTGCCATGTCACTCCCTTCTTGGCAATTGGCGATCTGCCTCAGCATTTCCATTCTCGGACAGCCAAGAGTTGCCTAGTTTTGGGTGATCTTCCTACACATGCAAAACTAATGAAATCCTGGAGCGCAAGATGATGTTGCTAGTGAAGGTAGGTACAAGCCGAATGATGCTAATTATGTTACCCGAGACAATGCGCTGATAGAAAATCTTCGACCTTCCAACGTGCTCTATTCTTTGCTTCAATTATTCCAAGAGCTTACGGGCCGTTCCGCTTCCCAACCAAGGTCACAACTCCAAGGTCACGGCTTCGAGGACCTGAAATGTGATAACTCAATGCAGCTGCTGTTGGTGCTGCACTAGAACGTGGAGCTACGCCTTGCATTTAGTAATCATCAATCAGCAGTCCGACAGGGGTTTTAATGGCCATTGTGAGCAAGCAACCTTTTTAGATGGAATTACGACAGGGTTAGGATTCGATTTTTTCAAGAATAAACCGACCGCTCATGGACCACCGTATTCTTCTCCTTTATCTCTGCAGCTTGAGGGCCTGCCCATAAGCCTGCTGAGTAGAGTGAGCAAGGTACTTAGCAAGAACAGTCCATGAAAAACAACAGAAGCTCATGCCAATTCATTACTTTAGTTTCCGTATGTTTATCCAGTTATTTGATACATATTGACGCTGCCCTACAATCGCGGCCGCCTCGATTTACGCGGCTTTGATATGCCGAGGTATTTTCGTAAGGAATGTGATGAGATGTGTTCTCTCTGAGATGACCTTATCTGACAGAAATGGCCCGCGATAGCTGGCTGCGTGTTTAGCGCTTATCGACAAGTTGGACCAGTTTGCCGGTCCTTGGGTTAATATCAAAGTCTTCCAAGCTTACGATAGAGACCTTCAACGGGTTTACCAGTCGCTGCTTGACATGGTCTTGAAACATTGGGCGTCGCATGCCGAGGCCTTTAGCTATACTTTCACGCACTGTATCTGTGGAGTCATGAGCCAAATTGTCGCAGACTAGGCGGATAGTCAACTGATCTATTGAGTTCTCCCTCGTGATCAATGCTTGTAGTGCTTGAAAGGTCCTGGGCGGAAGTGCCGAAGCGACAATCTCATGAAGATCATTGAAATCTATCGAGACGGGCCCTAACCGGACAGCTTGCTGATCTCGTCCGAGAAGGCGGAAAGTGCGATTATTGTAATCTACCCATTCAGCTTTATCGCCACAGGGATAGCGTACAACTGGCTGCAATTTCCGCGCCAGGTTTGTCACCAGAACGGATCCAGGAACACCATGTCGTGTCGTAGGGGTTGTCGAACCATCCGGTACAATCTCAAGTACCACTGACGGGCTATTCACAACATGGACGCGGGAGTCCTCGTCAGGAGTTGAATAACCCAGAACGCCTGCATCAATGCTACCGTAAACCAGGGACCTAATTGTAGCGTTCGGAAATGCCCTCGCAACCAACTCTCGTTGGTCCTCATAAAACGGCTCTCCCGAGAACAGTAGCCTCTGGACAGCGGGGAGTATGTTGTTCTCTTCGACCAGGTGCTTTGCGAGTCTGTATATAGTCGTGGCTGTGGCAAACACCACAGTCGCGTTCAACTGCCGCATATGCTGGATGCTTTTGTCGGGTTCACAGGAACCACCAATCGGCAGCTGTACCAGTGGAACTCCAATATCCATGATTGACAGAATGTGTAGGAGGAAGCTGCCGTATAAATCACCCGCATAGAAGAGGTTTGCAACACGATCATATGGCTGTATACCAGCGGCGAGTATACCAAGTCCAAGTTGATAGCTGGTAGTTCTGAGCTCGTCCTTGGACATAAGTGTTACTTTGGGGTGCGAAGTTGTTCCTTAATCAGACATTCAGTTCTGTTTGCCTGCTTGTGCTAAGAATATTATTCACCTCCAGTATTCATGATAATACCATCATCATGAGAGCCCGTTATGATTTCGCTACGTGAAATCCCGTGGCCTGCCCAGTATGAAGTATGATCCACAACGGGATAGGCTTCTAGATATGCTTGATCTCCCGAGGATACGTTCTCCCAGAGTTTGCGGTAGTAAGGGGAGGATTTCCTAACAAAATCAAGATGTTGTTGCAACGCAGATGTTTGCAATGCAACGGAGGTAAATGGTGGATTAGATGTCTCAGTAGGTAGTGGCGTCATGGTTCCAGATTTGTTTTGATTGGCAGTCAAGGAGATGAGGAACGATCAGTCAGATACAAATTTTGCAAAGGATTCAATCTTCTCCTCCTTTATGTGCATCTTTTGATTAAAAGTGGCGAAAGGCTCTTGATGCAGGCAGTCGTGGGCACCGAACCACTAGCATTCTGTTGGCACATGCTCAAGCTCCTTCCACAGGGGACGGAAGATATCGCCAAACCGCTCCTAGATGACACTGCAGCGGCGTCCCCGACGCCGCATTTACCTTGTCAAGGAAACAAATGATTTTGCGGGAGATCCTTGTTTGCTTATGCACTTTACGAGCTAGTATATTGGTTTACGAACAGCTCCCTATCCTTTGCAACACTACACTATGCAGAGTGAAAGTAAGGAGAGTGTAGCCGAGATGCTTGGCCAATCAGTCTCCGCAATTTCAGACCTAGTGATAAGATCACCAACTGTCTGCAAGGACGGGCAGATCTGATCCTTTTGACAACTCCGCGGTACACGACCGCGAGGATTACCATGTATTTTTCAATATCAAGGTATGCAAAGTATTGGTCGCCCGCAGACCAGTAATCCTCCCTTGGGTGTTAGTTATACCGTGGGATTCCAAGTTAACTGGTAGGGAAGATATTGTGAACCATGTTCGTTCCACTGCCTGATGCATCGTCCAAATTAAAACTCTTGGGCTATTTATATTTTGGCAGCGACTCGAATACTCTTTTGTGGTGTTAGGGACTAAATAAACGGCAATAAAACTGAGAGAGCGACCTATTAAAGCCACGCATTGTCTCCAGTTCACCACAGCATGACTAGAACAAACCACCCGAAAATCCCTCGGGAGGTTATAGGGGAGATTCATGGACCTACAATGAAGTCAGCTTTGTTTAACAGACATTTAGATCTTTTTGTCTGGACGATTGAATGCGCCTGCGGGGAGTGCGAAGAGGCGAAGCAACATTCCCTATAAGCGCAGGGGTGACTTCTTCAGGTCGAGTATCTTCGAAACGGAGACTTACTTTAGCACAAATCTATAGCGGCCAATCATAGGGGCCGTTATTAACTGACAAGTGTTGAAGGGAATAAATGGGAAGTTTTCCAAGGAGCATTGCCATATGGACTTGCAACATTTTACCATAACACTCCCAAGGGCCAGGAGTAATACCTTATCAATATGAGAAGGTGACATTGCGGAACTGGCTCACCCTGCAGGATTAGCATTAATCCGACTAATAGAACTCCTTGCCAACACTATATGGTAGGCTATATGATTATGCACCTAATAGTAAGTTCATCCACCCAATGCCTGCCGATTGTCAGCCGTCGAAATGCCCCTGTGGATACTACCGCTTATCCGCAGTATACCATGTCTACACACTCTCATGTTAGGCGAATTCCGTAAACTAGTAGCTGGCATTTAACCTGCAAGGGATGAATACAGTGATGGTCAGCTGGCAGATTTTCAGCCTAACTTTATGGTCAAGCGTACAGCTGTTGTCAGCTAATCTGGCCAATTGCTACTCCTTTGTGGATCACTGGTTGAGAATCCAAAAGGCTTTTATTAGTTTGAGGAGTGATTCTCATGCTATCGAGCCAACATTTAGGTGCTGTCTGTACGACGCTTTGAAACCAGGTGCGGGGCGGTGGACCTAAGACAAATTATTTAATAGATGAGGCATGAGATGACACGCGATTACCCGTGAATATTTCCTTATATATATATATTTGTATTCTCGCAGAGAGGAGCTACAAAGATAGCCATTCAATGATGGAAGTTGCCAAAGATATGCGGGCTTCTGGAAGCTCTTTTTACCTCATCACAATATGTGTGACCTTCTGGTTAGCCAGCTTCATTTATCTTACAATCCGCAGTACCTGGAAATCAATACAGTCCCCCTTGTCAAAAGTACCTGGACCGTGGTATGCCCCGTTTACAGCTCTCCACCTGCGTTATGCATTCGCTACTGGGGAAATATGGAAATTCGTTGAGGATAGTCACAAAAAATATGGCAATATTGTCCGACTGGGTCCACGTCATGTTTGGGTCGCGGATAAACAGGCAATGAAGGAGATTCTACAAACAATTGACCTGCCAAAAGTTGCCATGTACGCCGAGATATCGCGGGACCGCTCCAGTCCTGGGCTGTTTGGTGAGATGTAATGAGTCTAGCACTTCTGGCTGCAGAGTCCAAAGTTTACTGACCAGCTATCATCAGTCGACCTGGCCCTCACAAACTGTTGAAGAGATTTTTGTCACCCGCTTTCACTGTTGGCTATGTGGATCAACTCAGTAGCATTTTCGGCGAGTGTATTGCGAAACTTATCTCAAGATATGACAATCTATTCCATGAAATGGGGGTAATGGACAGGGAGCAGATTCTAGTGACTGATCTTATGAAAGATCTGCATACTGTCGCGTTGGATATGTACGTGGCCCAAAATTAGTTTGACTGTCCTTCACTGACTTCCAGCCAAGAATGGGGGAATGCTCTTTCGGGCACGGCCTTGGACAGACAGTTACAACAACAGAGAATGATCCTGTGGAAGAGTCCCATATATGGACTTCTGTACCGCATGCTATTTTTACGGGAATGTCCAAAAGATATCAGGTGAATTCTACAATACATATACAGCAGATCTGGAACTGATACGCAAAGCATGTATTCAGACTGTGTATCTGAAGCGGTGGTTGCGCGGATGGGGGATTGATATAAAGTTTGACTGGCCAGCTGAGATGATCCAGGTGTGTATTTTCCTGGAGGACACTTATGGGCAAACAATGCAAGGAGCTAAAAGCACCAGGCAATCCATACAGTGATTCAAAAGCGCAGGGATAAGCCGGGCGACTCCCGCCCTGACCTGCTGCAACATCTGATCAATGAAGGCAACAGGCCTGATAACGGGCAAAGGATGACGACCAGAGATATTATAGACCAGATGTCCGAGCTGCTTCTCGCTGGGTCCGAAACGACTTCAGGAACGATCGCATGCTTATTTTTGGAGCTCATCCGGAACCCTGAAGTGAAAGAGAGGCTCCTGGCTACTTTACCAGTCTTATCGCCAAATGACCCCATCATTGATGGCAAGTTCGTTCGATCCAATTCCAGATTTTTGTACCTTAGTGCGTGTATCAAGGAAACTCTTCGCCTTCATCCCATCGCTTCTGAAATGGGGCGTCAAACGGGCAAAGATTGGGTGTCGCTCATGGGCTACAATCTTCCCCCCCATACGGTTGTTTCCGCATCTTACAGACATCTCCACCGTGACTCTGATATCTGGGACAAACCCCTCCACTTCTACCCTGAAAGATGGATAGGGCAGGACAAGGAAAATGAAGTTCCACACCCAGAGTAAGTACGCCATACTGGTTGACCCCTCACGCTGCTGACATACGCTGCTGACATATCATGAAGTCTGCAAGCATACTATCCCTTTTCTGCAGGAAAACACAGCTGTATCGGCATCAAGTATGTTCGAGCATGAGGAATTGGATTAGGACAGCACTGATTCGTTCACAGTTTTGCATGGAATGAAATGAGAATGGTGGCTGCCAACCTGCTCTCTAGGTATGACTTTACAGAAGTGCCAGGCCAGGAGGTCGAGTATCGCCAGTATATCACGATGCAATTCAAGACAGGGTCTTGGAAGGTCTCGGTCAAGCCACGGTATTAGCCTCAGCCCACGTCATGCAACTATCGAGAAGTCCAATCGCTCTATCCTACGGGTGGTCTTAATCGTCGATAAACCCAACTAGGCTTCGGCTGATCAGACGATTTCAGGGTCGACTCATGTACACCAACGTGGATATTGGAGTGAACCGGGTGGGATGCTGACATGGCAGGCTGCTGAGCTGGTTGTCAACTCACTCTAAATCAGGATGATCCCTGTCGACTCTGACTTGCTTTGGTACAGAGTCTTTGAATTGCAAAGTCTTTTGTTGTGGATAATGCTTTGCTACCAAATATGCATGTATCCTTTGCCGAATAGTAGAAGAACCGTGAGTATTTAGCATAAATCTTACACACACTCTCTCTCTACTAAGTGGACTTCGCTTATCATCATGGAGCCAAACCAGAGCTCGAAACCACGTTCATTATTCATTGCTATTTGTGTTTACTATTGAGTGCATCGAAATCGAATATCCGTGCCGATTATCCTGTTTAAGGTTCGAAAACCGTCCTTGCCGACGAAGCTTGCGGGAGTTGTCCAGCAAGAACTACATGACTAGCTCGACGGAAATCTGTAAAGGGCTGAATGCAAGGTGACATGTCCATCCAGTCCCATCACCTGTTATCTTGACCAGGTCATTAGCTCGTGAACCAGTGGCCAGGAATGGGAAGAAAGCTTTATTAACTTAGTTATCGGTCTGAATGGATAGATGTGCTCTGACTTATGACTACACGCCTCCTGGTATGAGGGCCATTTCACAGCTTTTTCTATACGAGAGATCATAACATATCAGACAACGCCCGTATTCCTATGATTATGCCTGCATTACTTCCTCCAGGATCACCCTCTCCTCGTCCGCCCACCGTTTCCGCAAAACTTCCTCGCCCCTGCGCGCCTTTTGCGCCGCCCGATTGCGGTACACACTGTCAATTTTCCGCACGCTGACGTCGTCGCTAACGCACCACCGTTTGAGGTTAGCCTCCCACTCTTCATAAGTTATAGTCGGCTTGTTGTAACGTGCGCGGATGTTGCTCAGGGTATGCGTTCGCAGCGCCTTGGACGCACTAGCAAACCGCGCATTGTCTTTCGGCGTGGACCGCGACGGAATGAGCGGTTTGAGGGAGAGATACATGATTGCCTTGGACTCCTGCGCAGCGGCCATCAGAGGCAAGGCGGTTGTGGTGCAAAAGGGTTGGGGCCCGAGGGCGAGATAGGAGAGAGGCGTCGATGAAGTCACAAGGGAGCACAGCGCGCTGATTGTGCATTCCGCGGATAGGTAATTGAATCTTTTTTTGTCAGTTCCTTCCTTTAATCCACCGGACAAAGACATACCTCGCGTTCAAGTCCTGCGTGGAATAGGCCTGACCCATATCGAAAGTCTCCAATGCAGGATGACCTTGCAGGGATGAAATCAATGCAGTCGCTCCCTCATCAGTCAGGCCAACTGATTGCAGGGAAAGACGTTGCAATGTCTTGTTCTGTTGTAGCCCTTTGGCAAGCGCTTTTGCCCCTGCATCGCCGATCGGATTGCTGGAAATATACAAAGAGGTAATAGGGCAATGTGGCGAAGCCAGATACCTGGAAATTGCCTCACAGGCCGCAGTTGATACCCCGGTCGCGGACAGGTAAAGGATTCTCATTGACAAGGGAGTTGGAGGAATATACTCTGCCAGTCGGGTGAACAGAGCAGCGACACCTGCATCACCAAGCTCTGTCTGATCTAAATCTAGTGTCCTGAGGTTTGGAGTCTTTGTGATGAGGCGGAAGAGGGAATCAACCGACTCTGGACCGAGGGGATTCCTCTTAAGCCAGAGATTTGTCACAGCAGGCGACTTGACGAGGGCATCTGTCAATTGTGCAAGCGATGCTCCGTCTATGCAATTCCCTGCTAAATACCAGGTATCAATGCGGTCGGGGAATTCCTGCACAAAATCTGCAATAGCCTGTGCCCCAGCTGGGCCGATAATGTTATTTCCTAGCAGAAAATGCCGCACAAACGTGTTAGAGCGCAGACTGTGCATCAGCGTCGAGATATTCGGCGGACCAAGAGCCATCTTGCACAGATCCATCCGACCGTCTTCGTACAGCACCCCCTTGTTAAACTCTAGGGTGGGAACGTTGTAGTGAGGCTCGACTGCTGGCTGGCTCTGGCCTGTAGCATCAGAAGCGGTCTTGTAGCTGCCGTCATGTTTTAAATGATTGAAGAAAGGCGTAAGAGAGTCCTCGTCGCTGATCTCGACGGGCATCGGCAGGCTGGATGCTCCTTTGAGCATGTCTGGGGTAACTGTCTGATCCCAGGTGCCTTGAGCTAGAATTCGATCCGACCAGCGTGGTCGGATGTCCGGGGGTGATGCATTCTCGTCTTCGGCGGCCTGGGCGACTTCTGGAGAATCCCTGACTCGAAGCAGGTCGAGGGAGATGGGCTGCGCTGTTAGAACTGTTGCCGACGCCATCTTGTGTACTTTGCAGGTAATTTCTCTTGGTCGGAAGTTGGGTTCTTATGTATCTTCAGGAATGAGGGGTATGACTCACAACGTAGAATGGCTCATAGGTTTATGCCAAGGGCAGATTCAGCCTTGTGGATGGAGGAGGAACATCGAAGACGGCAATGGAAGAGTCATCATTATTGGCCCTCCGATATCCACTATCTTTCATGCAAGCAATGATCGAGGCCATGGTAATAATAACTGGGTGTTATGACCATATATATGGGAATCCTATTAAAGAGGGAAGGCTACTATAGAGGGAGGACTACTAAGGAGGGAAGATCGCTAAGGGCTGCTTAGTACAGTTGTGTTGAGTAATGACGAGGAGATGGGTTTACTTATGTTATATGTTTTAAACAAACCTGAAACCGATGGAAGTAATAGTAATAAGCCATCATTTTGCATCTTAGTTATTGTTGTTGAGAGGCCACAGGCATCACTAGAGTTGCGTTGGGTCTGAGTAGACTGAGTACAGGTGAGTTTAAAACCAGTTAGCACTGAACTGCTGTGATTTCAAGTCTAAATTTTACAACTCAGAACCTACCCTAACCTATTCTAATTTAGTTTATGTTTAACTGTAAAGCTCAAAGCTTAGTGCAGCTAAACTATTTCAAGCCAAGTTATATTACTTACTAACTACTACAGTTAGATTTAGTTAGGTTTTAGTTTAGATAAAATCATAAACTACTATTTCAAACTACTTTATAATTATAAAATGCCATAATATCTCCCTATATACTAATTATTTGGCTATAAAATATTATTTATATAAGACTCTATATGCAGACGTTTTATCCTAACTTAATAAGTTAGGGTTTAGGGTTTGGTTAGGGTAAAAATCTGGAGCTCTGCAGCTGATTACATCCTACTCGTCGTATTTCGACCCCGACAGCCAGTCGAATGTTGCGGTGTACGAGTCCACGCAGTGGGTCGGCTACATGGACGACGACGTCAAGGCAGATCGGAAAGCACTTTACCAACGCCTCCATATGGGTGGAGTTATCGATTGGGCTATTGATCTAAAGGCTTCGGCGGCGATACCATTGCGTCCGGCCGCTCCGCAAACATCGTGTAGCCCTCCCCCGAGCATCTGGGACTCCACCGATTGGTTGACGGGCTGTATTCCTCCCTGCATCGTTGTCTTCCCACCATATCCACTCAGTGTCACTCACAATGTGACCAGCTGGCCAGCTTTGACAACCGCGCTCCTTTCTTCTGACGTAGGCGGCGGCGGCGTCTACGTGAAGACGACGACAATCCCCGTCCCAATCTTCACCACCACAGATGTCAGTCTTCACCCCGTGACACTGCAATCGACAGGCACGGCAAACTACTAAATCAACCCTGTCCAAAGTATCACTCCGGCATCTTTTGTATGGACTCTTCCTCCGAACCACGCCACCTTCCCCGTCACTTCTGCAACACCAATCACGCCCACGGCCACGGATGTACCACTACCCACAATCCCCCCCGTCACCTTCCACCCGACCCCTGTCCCCGTCACCATCCAACCTGCTCGGTCATCTATCCCGAACCCCCAATTCCAGCGGCACCCGTCATCATCAAGATATTGCGGGGCCACGAATGCGTATTGTGGGATGGGATGCCTGGCCCTGCTACTCCTACTCCCTCGGACCCAGCTCAAAACTAAACTCCTTCAAAAGCGGCGAAACCTTCCACCTTGCAAAGAGCTGCCCATACTCCACCAAGATCCGCCGTAGCACCTTCCCCCTCTCCTCTTCTGCATCAGGCCACACACCCTCCCATATCCTCACATACGGCTCGACAACCCCCAAAGCCTCCCTCAGCCACACTTTTGCCCTGCCCTCCCCGATCCTCCCGCTCCGCACCATCCCCCTCTCTAGCTCCTTCAGAAAATCTTCGCTCTCCTGCCCTTCCTTAACCGCAGCCTGCACTACCCCAAGCAACACATGCGACCGCACCGCAAAGTCCAACTCACCTAGCTCTACGCCTACTGTCTCCTCCACCGCAACAGCAGCCAAGAACTCCACCTCCTCCTCACCCCCAACCTCCCCCTCCCACCCCCTCCACCATGCCACGGCCCCTATCCCACCATCCGGCCACCCACACCACATCACCTCACTCTTCCACACGCCATCCTCCACATCTGGCTCAACCACCCCCTTCCTTTCCCAGCTCGCCTCCCACACCTGCGCAGGATACTTCTCTTCCCATGCGTATACATCATAGGCTCCCTGCGCGGCAAGTATCCCAAAGGTGTTTGGCTCCCACGATTCCCGGGAAACCGCCCTGGCCGCAGGGGGACCGAGATTCATATACTCAAGCCAGAAGCGCGCCTGTGTCTCCGAGTAGGGCGGAACACTAGGGTAGACCGCGCGTAGGCGCGTAATAGTCGTCTTAAGCGTGCTAAGCGCTAACTCCGTGAAAGTCTCAAGCGGAAGCAAGGGCTGCCTGCGGCGCGTGCGCGACACGATATACGCCCAGCGGGCGAGTTTCGTGGCGTGTACCCCACCGCCGGGGTGGGGTCGCTTGCACGGCTGCCCCAGCGGGAAATCGGTGTCAGGTAAGTCTTGCAGGTCAGGTAGGCGGTAGAAGCGCGCTGTGGTGCGCTGCTTTAGGAACGTCTCGGAGTAATAAGAGCGCCAGGCGGAGGGGTTCAGGAGCGCATGGTGTGTTGTGTAGAAAGTATCGAAGTCATCAGGGGAGGGGAAGTCGCCATCCATTTGTTCAGAGCGGTTGATGCCCGCTCCGATTTGGACGAGGTAGAATATGTCCAGGGTGCTGTGATTGTGATTAGTCTTCGTTGTCGTGGTACAGTGGCTATTATTGGGGATTGTACTAGTAACCTACCGGTTAAACCTCAACTCGCCCTCGCCGAATGACCACCCGTGCGCATGCAGCTTCTCGACGACATCGAAGACGCCGTTGTCTTGCCACAGTCCCTCGTCCATATAGATAAATGCTATCCGGAGCACGTGCTCGTGGCAGTCCACCGGCACCACGCCGGCTTCAACGTCGGCGAGGAATTCTTCAGCGCTCATGGCGAACCTCTGATAAGTAAATAATGATGATCAGGGAATATAAATTTGAATATCAGGTCCTCACTTGGGATGCCAGGAATAAGGATGTAATTAATGGATCATATGCGGCTGCCCCTGAAGGGATTTGTAAACAAAAACCTACTGGCCCAGATAATGTTACAGGCTAGTCTTTTTAGGTATAGCAGTGATTATCAGGCTTCTTTGGACTAAGCTCCGCCACGTCAAACGCCCCAGCTTCTTGGCATCGGCAAGGCACAATCCGAGGCTGAATTAAGCCTCAACTTTGCCTTCGCTGCCACCAAGATCCCAGCTTCTCCTGACCCCTTCTATGTCTGTGCTTTTCCCTTTTCAAGCCTCCAAGGAGGCATTTTCTCAAAAAAGTAATTCTTTTCTTATTTCAGTTGGTGCCACGAATTTTGGCTAGCTTCGTGTGTGCAAGGCAGAAACACCATTCTAGGATTCTAAGTCAATATGCAGGCGGTCGAGATTCCTTTGATGTCAAGAGACAAATTTGATGAGGAAATCGAAGATGCAAGTCGGTCACAGCGAAAATTCAGGAGCCAGGTGCTCCAAGCATGGAGATTCACTGTCGCAAGTGGTGCATTAGCAGGTACATTAGTTCTGCTGGTTAATCTGATCACCCTTGCATTGATGTACCGCAGATTCAGTGTGGTCGACTACGCCATTACATTCTTTACCGGAAGTTGTCAAACAACCCATACTGTCACCATTATCTCACATATTATAATCAACGTGCTGAGTACAGTCCTGCTCGCCTCCAGCAACTTCAGCATGCAATGTCTGGGTTCGCCTACCAGGAGAGAAGTCGATTCAGCCCACTCTAGGCATCGTTGGTTAAGTATTGGAACTCCAACCGTTCGCAACCTTTTCTCCATTTCCAAGTCCAAGACCTTATTATGGCTGGTTCTCGGTGCGAGCTCATTTCCGTTGCATATGCTGTGGAACTCGACTGTCTTTGAAACAAAGTCTACAAACGACTACCTCGCCGTCACCGTCACAGAGGACTTTTTGCAAGGTTCACAATGGACCATCCCATCGAAGTCTCACAACGTCAATGAGGCATACGCAGATGCTGATGCTAAAGCTGCCCAGTACCACAATATAATTCAAAACCTCCAGCAAGAAGCCATTGCCAGCAAGTCGGGCAACTCTTCAAGTAGCCTCGAGTTTCTCGACGCGGAAGAGTGTCTCCGCGCTTATGACCAGGATAAGGTATCAGACCGCCAACATGTCCTTCTAGTCGTCGACAATAATGCGGTGAATACTCCCACAAATTCCTCAGTTCTAGCAATCTACTACAATGTTTTCTTCACAACCGGCGCGCCTCTATTTCTCTGGATGTGCAATTCCTCAACAAGTAACATTGATGTGGCGAATGGGCGCGAATGGTCTTGCGCATCCGATCTTCTCAAGTATGGTGTCAACAACTGGATCCCTGGCGGAGCTGGCACAAACGGCGCAGTCCTTGGCTCTCAGAGAGATGCCCCGGTTCGCTACTGCTACTCTCAGCGGACAGCTGAACAATGCAAAGCCAACATTGTCCCTTCCTTCTTGATCGTCGTGATCATCTGCAACGCAATCAAAATCGCCTCCTTTCTATACACCTTACGAATCACAAAGAAGGACCAACCCCTGTGCACAACTGGCGATGCGATTCAATCCTTTCTCAAACATCCAGACCCATATACACAAGGCCGCTGTCTTGTCGCCAAACATGATTATGAGAAGCTGGCGTCAGAAGAATGGACGACTCGTGCACCCAATGTCGGGGATCTCTGGGCAGGAGGACGATGGCGATGGGGCAAAGCTGTCAACTGGTGGCAATGGACGGTTTGCATGCTCTGCGTGTGCAGTGTCATCATTTTTGCCGGAATCTACCTACCGCCCTTTAATATGCCCAATTTTATTACCGTGTCGCAGTCCGCCATTGCGGCACTCGGCATCGGTCAACCTCATTCAACCTTAGCCGCTACGAAGACAGGAGTCTCAAATCTTCTCACTGGCTTCGTGTGTGCCAATTCCCCGCAACTGATCATTTCATATATCTACTTGGCACTCAACAACATGATGACTACCATGCTTGCTATGGCAGAATGGTGTAGCTACACTGTTGGGCCTACGAGCCAACCCAAGGCTCTCCGTGTCTCCTCTCCAGTGCCGGATACCGAGCAGAAGTCAACCTATACGCTCTCTGTTCCTCTGAAATGGGGCATACCAACGACCATCTGCATAACGGTCCTACACTGGCTGATATCTGAAATGGTATTCCTTGCTCGTATCGATGTGTACGACGTCAATTCCAATGGATCCGGCACACCCACTTCCGTTACCGATATATTTTACTCGCCACTGGCTATGATTATCGCTGTATCCCTTGGTTCTGCAATGGTCGCTATCCTGGTTGTAATCGGAATTTTCAAGAAATACCCGGACTCTATGCCGCTGGCAGGATGTTGTAGCGCCAGTATAGCTGCTGCTTGCCAACCTTCTCGAGTTCATGGGAACGGAATAGGGAATCAAGAGTTTCCCGATGACCTGGTGTACAAAAAACTTCAGTGGGGCGTTGTGGAAAGCCCTGAGGAGAATATGCCATTGGGCATTGGGCATGCAACTTTCGCTGCTGAAGATGTGAGTCCCTTGGTAGAAGGGAAATTATATGCTTGATTTCGCGTTAGCGGTCCCACTCCCTTTACTATGACATAATTTGCGGAATAGGATAATTTTGATGCTCTTGCTGTTGTCCGGAACCATGTCAGACCAGAAATATCTTGCCACTATCGCTGGTAGCTTGTAGCTAAAACTGCACTCTAGACTTGTCGATAACCATGCGTGCATGCGCCATGCTGAAAGCGGAATTCCTTATTAAAATGAGAGACCGAGGAATGAACATTCGGATCATTCTAATTGAGACTATTCTAATTAAAACTACATGCATTACGCGCCATTCTCACTGGGTTCCAATAGAGTGGGCAAGTATCACTTGCGCGTCCTGCGAACCTTACTTCAGCCATAATAGTTCTTATAATTAATGGTCAAGAAACAGAAGAGGAAATGACTTTACATTCGATAGAGAACTAAGAACAGAATCACAAATCTTCCTGGGCGAGATGTCAAAATCTCTTATCTTAGATAGGGCTGGTATTAAGATACAGCCTTACCAGCAGACTGGTGAATTAAGGTTGGTTAGTTAACGTAATCAACCACCGAACCGCGGATACCACCGAACCGCGAATTTTCGCCGCAAATCATCATATCTTTGAAGCTTTTCAACCGCCAGTGTCATTAATTAGACTATCTACTAGTTGAATATATAGCTATTTATTAGGGCAACTTCTTCTAGTATGTCCAATAGTCCAGCATCCACTACAGCGCGGCGGAGCACGCTGACAAGATATAGGTGTAGGCTCACCAACCTGCTCATCAACCTGCTGAATACGGTCACGACCTTCCTGCACAGATATAAATAGGTCATTCCCTAACGAAGCACGTTTTCTTGCCTTCTTCTTTATTTTCCGCTCATTTTCAGCGCGAAGAACCTTGATTTCCTGTTGGAGAAGAAGATTCATATTCATTGCCATCTGCGCGGCCCTTTTAAGATGTTGAATATGCGCCATTAGACTGCTAGATAGCTTCCTTTTCTGGATGCTTCTCTGTACACTGCGGATCTTGTGATTAAGCTGGCAAGGATTCTAAGGAGTTTGAAAAGTAGAGGGGATTGAGCCATCAGTAAGAAGTGGTGGTGGTGTTAGTGTATGAAGTTAAAAGGTAATTTTCTCAAGAACCTAGTCTTTATCTAATGGCTTAAGACCTGCTCCTGCAAAGCCATTATATATATTCCTTTGGATAAAGACTGCTTCACATGCAGAAGGATATAGGTGTAGAAAATCCTCTTTATCAATGTGGTTATTCCCTGCCACCATCATCCCTTCAACTAGCTTTCTATATGCGCGTTTAAGTGGCCCAAAGACCCCAACATCAAGGGGTTGAAGAAGATGAGATGTATGCGGAGGCATACAAAGACAGATAATTGCATTCTGCTTGTAGAAATCATCGAACTCAGCAGTTTAATGGCTTGAATGGCCATCAAGTATAAGTAATTGCTTTGCACTAGTTAAATGTAGGCAAGAAAAAGGGTTAAAGACCTCCTTTAGCTACTTAAGGCCTATCTCATCTGTTGTCCAGCCATTTGCGCTATTGGTAAGCTTCCAGTCTGGAGGAAGATTAAGCTCTTGATACCAAGTAGCTGGGTGTTCCTTCCCTTTTAGGATAACTACTAGTGGTATAGGAATCCCCTTTAAGCTCATACACTTAATGATTGTAACCCATTTATAGTTCCCCTGGATAACTCTGTGAGGTCTCTCACTGTACTCTACTGCAGTAATAACCTTTAAGGTAGTATAGAGTCCCATTGCAAAGCTAGTCTCATCAAAGTTCTAGATATCATCTTCATATATGCCATGCTCTTGGATAGCTTTGCATACAGTTTTAAACCTCTGTTTAATGATATTTGGATCCTCCTGCCTTGCATACTGATAAGATATGCGTTTATTATATCTTGTACACAGCTCTGGATGATGTTTAATGAACTTATATGCCTAGTTGACACTAAGGGTAGTTGTAGGATCATGAGTACGTGCTTGTAGCAGAATCTGTGCCATTCCACGTAAAAACTTAGGCTGAATTGAGAAACCCTGCTTATCTGCATCTAGGAGATGATTAACAAGAGATTTCTCTTCAATAACTGTCATTCTGTGGCCATTTGCGCGTGTTTCTGTATGTGGTTTAACCCCACTAAGCTGCTCACGAAGGGTAGATTCAGGCACCCCAAATATCTCAGCAGCTTTTGATTTTGATTTAATTTTTTAATTTTTATATGCAGAAATGGCCATTTGCATGCGGGCCTCTTTGGATTGAGACACTTATATAAAATTGATAGGGATAGCACGCGTTGATACTTGTATGTTCGAATATTTTGGGGAAGTAGCGAAAATTCGCGGTTCGGTGGTATCCGCGGTTTGGTGGTTGAGTACGTTAGTTAGTGAATCTAATGACTCAGCATTAGTATACATTGCATAAGGCAACTATCCTGTATAGGCCTGTCTAAACACATCCTTCCTAGCACGTGAAGCTTTCCTACAAAACCAACCCAAGATTATTATATTAGTCTCCGAAAAGCGGGCATCAGAGCCTTCAGAGCCGGATAACTCCCTGCCCTTATAGGCATAGCAAGATTGCTACCTCAATTCTGATTTTGATCTGATCGCCCGGACTTGTCTCTGTATTATAGAACAAGGATGGGGTATGTGCTCTCCCGACAAACACGGAGGCAACATGATAGACATGCTATATCACGTAGTATAATCGGGTCGTAATAATCGCCGCCTGCAAGAGAAATTAGCCGAAGCTCAGGCTCCCCGCTAACCGGAACTACCGCCACCAGGCTGGGTTCAATCTCATCGGACCGGAACGGTTTTCCTGGGTCCAGAGGGTGCGTATGGATAGCAGAAGGGTCAGGTCTGTCCAACCTCGTCGCCAATTTTGTAGCCATTCCATGGGGACAGTCCTCCACAATCAAGGCACTGGAGATATTTGCCAACGCGCGACCTGGTGAAACTGAGACATATGCCAGTTTATGATCGACGCCCTTCAATCCCCACCCAACCTTAAGAGTATCATCGGCAATCTTCACTCGCCAGTCCACTTTAGCGCCTTGAAAGAAATTCCCTGATTCAACAAATTCACTCATGTCAGTACGTTGATGGTTTGGAGTAGGGGCTTCGTAGTCGTCGTAAAATCTTTCAATCAGAGTGTACGATTCTTTCCCGTAATGGAAGACGCCCCATTGGTGCTTGAGAGACAGAAATCCATGCTTGCTGGGTGTCATAGTGTCGAATATGGTGGGCCAGATTGCCTGTCCCAAATTGGATGATGCTGCCCATTCATGAGCTTTTAGACGGGAAGTCATGTCATGACCCACTAAAGTCAATGCCCAGTCAAGCAACTGGGAAGAATTGGTGACAGTTAGGCGACCTGTCCTCAGGATATGATATATGGACATCGTAAATTCATGCATGCCGTCTATTTGCATGATGGCGCATCGGAATCCGAATATGAAGCTCTTCCGGATATTCGAATAAAGACAAAGCAAGAAGGTCGGCCACAATATTACAAGCCTTGTCAATGAATGCATCCCTTTCGCAGTACCTATAGATCTGTTCATCAGACAGCCTTGGCCCCAGGCATTTGAAACAATTGCAATGCGAACTTAAATTCCCTAGATGGAGTCGCACAAGTGGGAGATCTTCGATGCGGCCTCCATTTTCGAGAAGCTCGCGATATCGAGAGTCGTTTGAAACACTCTTCAGTGATGTTAAATAAAAGAGCATTTTCTCGACGTTGGGCATTCGGAATGGGTGAAAACGGAGCACTTTAAGATTTTCAGGAAGATGGTCACTAGGTGTCATGTTGTTGAGAAATTGGCCTGCAGGGAGCCAGCCCTCAAGTCCACGATCATAGTGGAATTCAGCATATGTTGCAAATCTCAGTTTGGTGACGACCTGGTGAACAGTATATGGGATTAATTGTTCTAAGATTCATTTGTCGGACCCAGAGTTGAGGCCATTGTTTTGAAGAAGCCATTCGCCATATTCGTTGATAGACGGCATTCCTCTCCATCGGAGATTGACATAACAGTCCATTCTGGCAGCATCATCACTCATAAGCTCCTCAAATGATCGGATTGTTTCATCAACCTGGACTCCCAAAGAGGGAGTTGGGGTTGGTACATCATTGGCTGGAAAGTGAATTATGCAAACGCCGTGGTGATGTTCACTCCATAGATGTTGACCAAAAGAGGTGTATATCTCTGGTGAAACGCCCAGGCACCACTCGGTAAATGAGGCAACCCAAGCTGTACAGCGAGAGGATCTGATGATCACCCTTTTTGCTTTTGCGTGTCCTATTCGATAGAGCTTTCGGAAAGCAGCTATCAATTTTGCGATTCCGTCAGGATCAGGCAAGGCTACAGACTCATTTGTGTTGTTCATGAAAGCAAGCGGGGCGAGCGATGCCTGATGATGAATCCTGGAATGCCAGGTCAAGGTAAGGTCTGAGAAGCCTGCAGCGGTGCATCGCGGCTCAAGTGCGGCAAGCAGATCTCTGAGTAATTGGGGTTTGGGAAAAACGCTACTGTCGTTAGCGGCTTTTGAAACAGCATCGATCATCAACGCTTCCAGATAAAGCTTTGCATCGGAAACCTCCATGGAACATAACAAGGCTGCCGCTAAGCTCAAAAATCGCAAACCATCCTGGGACTGACTGAACTCAGACGCGCAGTCATTTGTCGGGAACCCAACAAAAGCCTTCAGATATTTAATTTTTTGCTTTTCTGGCGGCGGAACAACCTTGTTTCGAATAATTTCCATCGTCGCATCGCACATGGGTATCGTATTTCCGAGTTGTTGACAAGCCTTGAAGACATATGGCTGGACCCGGTCTGCCATGCCAGCGACTAAAGCACCCATCGTCAGGGAAACTAGACCCCCCGTCGAGCCGATGTCCCAAGTAGCATTCTGTGGACCGCTCATTGTGCAAGATGAAAATATAAAGCCAGGCTGTGTGAGGCTGACAATGGAAGGCACACGAGGGAACGCTCGAAGCACAGCCTCTTCCTAATATCTGCCACATATCTTGTGCATTGTAAATTGACTTTGCCTTGAAATTTCAAATTGCTGATAACAGTGATTGATAGGCGTCACTCATCATCTGGGCCCTTTCGCTTCGAGAGCTAAAAGCCTTCACTACGGGAACCTTGAGCGGCGACTGCAGGTTTTGCATGGACTTGCAAGTCGCGACTCAACGTCTAGGCCCATCTCGGCTTTCTCCAAGCCTGAAATAACCTAATGTGCAACGACGATTCGACAAAGTATGCATGGGATGTCGCCCATTGGATCAGTTGGTCGCAAGGTGACTGGAGCAATTTTTGGCGAGGCAAGCATATGATTAAGACAAGTTACGGTGTGTACAATAGTAGTACATAGGAGTATAGTTTCTACATAAAAGGATCATATCAGTAGACCATCCCTTTACTATGATTATCTTCAGATTGCCTTTAATACGGCAGCGACGCTCTTTTACAACACACTCTATAACAATAGGAGCAGCCATGGCCTCAAAGATCGGACCGACCAACTCAAATCCTTCACCTCCACAGCCCCAAGCCACTTCGCAGATAGTCCGTACAGCATAAATTGTTTGAGGGAGAAAACAGTGATTCCTCCTAACAAACGGCTAGCGACCAGCCAATCAAGATCAGATGGTATCCAGTCACGTGACAGGTACCAACAGCTACCGTACACCAACTAGCATAATTTTGTGTTGTCTCATCATAACTGGGATTCGGATTCGGATTCGGATTTTCTCATACTCCGTCCCAACCACTCATGAAACCCTCGGCTATGCGTGAACTTCTTCACTGCCTGCTTGGCAGCTTCGCATGTAGCTACACATATTATGCACATATTTCTGCCTCCAATATGCGCCTGAACCGGGGGCTTGGCTCCGCCCTAGCCTGTGTTTGGGGGTTCCCCCAGGCCCTGTCCTGTCCTCTGCATGCCAATGACTTCAGTGCTCTGCCCCATCTATTTCTCTACTGTCAGCAACTCCGAATTGCCCGAGGAGCCCGGTGGTGTATCATGAAATGAATTTGGCTTCTCGGATTGCTAGCTTAGGCGGGTTAAGGATTTTCTTCAAACTCCCTTCTCCCTCCTTTAGGTCCTCCAGTCTTTCCGCCAAACATTTTCTCGCGACGGCTTTTGAGAAGAGGGCAGGCAAAGCACATGTTGCACTGTCTGGGTTGCTTTGCCGCATTGACAATCTCCGTCTGGTATGTCTGGCTCTCATCGCATGTAGAGGTAGTGTCGGAGTCCTATTTTACCTGTGCGCATCTGGATGACAGTCGTACTGAGTGCCCAATGAAGGCTCTGGTTGACTCTCAGTACCTTCTTTGTTGGGGTTGGCGTCAGCTCGTAAACCATCCTGCCCTATTAAGATGAACCAGCTTCATCAACCACACGCACACTGGACCACCGCCATTTACATCCCAGACATTGACTGGATAGTCCGTCCACCTATCCTGGTTGTCCGGATTCTTACGCCCTGTCTCAAGAATGCCGCTCGGTTCATAAGTGCGGCGCTCATTGCCGCATCGACTTTATCGGGGTGCGTCAGGATAACTCCCTCCAGTCTCTGTGCTTGTTGGAGTTTCTTGACCTCTTCATATGCTGACTCTGGACAGAGAATCGCGGTTTCTACGATCATGCCCATATGATCACATCCATCGAGGGGGTACGGGCTCTCCAACAGGGTAGCGTCGAATGAAAGCGACCCCAGCTCCGATCTCAGAAAGCCTGCCAGTCGATTTTCGATACAGGCCTGATGGAGAGCCATTTCATCACCTCCGCTTTTGAAGAACTGGGTATATGCATCACGAAGGCTTAGCCGTTCCACCGGCGTTTGGCAGTTCATGAACCCGTAATCAACACAAACGGCGCGATGGGGGTATGGCTGTGACAGACGGGTAAACCTTTTCAACTCCCAGACACTCTGATACCAAGTGCCTATGGCGCTCATCAACGATTCAAAGTTTCGCATTGTCCGGATTTCATCACCCAGACTGTGCTTCTGGAACAGCTCAACCATTTTAGAGCTCACCCTTGCCTGCCAAAAATCTTCAAAATTCGCTCTCCCAACGAGCAGCCCGTAGAGCTGCGCGAGCCTCTGAGTCTGAGAATCATTGGAGGCTGTACAGAAGCCAAGAAATATCCAGTTGTCTTCGTCCACATCTGGCATGATTCCGTTTGTGATCTGGCACCAGAAGACATAGGCTTCCAGCTTCTCGCGGGGCTTCAGTGTGTACCACGGGACTGTGCGATCCAGCGGATCGAGTATATGTCTTTGTGTCTCAAATACTGTATCCCAGCTTGTCACAACTCCAGAGCCGAAGCGATTCTGTTGCACAAGCCATCGTACCTCATTCCTGATTCTGGCACTGGGCACTTGTGATCCTCGGAGGTGGATCAGTTCCTTGAGTTTGTCGGACTTCCACGCTTGCCTCAGTTCCTCCTCGCTCATGCCCCACTGATTGATCAGATCGCAGTACAATCTGAAGAGTCGCTGTCGATCCACACCAGAAGTGAAGAAACAGAATCCGAAAGCCTTTGCGACATTGTCGTTTGTTGGTATAGTCTCCTCACGACATGCTCGGATGAAGTCGTCCACCTCGTCTAACGGTCGACCCAGGCGGCATACGAACTTGTGACGAATCCAGTCTTCCTCCAGACAGGCCTTGTCACAGTATAAGACCGAGTTACATTTCTGGCAGGAGATCAAACCGTCATTCAACACCCCACATTTACCACATGACGGACGGTTATTTTCTGGCACTGGTTCGAAAACCCTCGTATCAGAATGCGCTTCGTCATCTGTAACGTCCGAAGGCGGCGCTTCTAAACCTTCATGATCTGTCGGATTCTTTCTGGCGTGACTATTAGCTCTTGTCTCTTTGGCACATGGCTCATACCCGCCAGCGATCCTTTTTATATATCCTTGTGACAGCCACTCAATCTCCCTGGAATGTAGACGGGGGTCGGGGATACTACGATTGAAAGGCGACCATATATCCTGGCGCTCGGCAACCGGCGTCGAGATGGTGGACTCCTTGATGGGAGCCAGCTGTTTATTATCCTCGGAGTTGCATTCATGGTGCAAGACATCGCGAAGTTTCTGTATTGTGGTGTCCAGCGTACCATGACTTGCAGCAGGCATAGCAATGGCGCGAGGTAGCGTCCATTGACCATATACCTTGCCATGATTATTCCGCGCCTGAAATATTCCCAACTGGCTCAAGACGTGGCCGCATAAGAGGCAGGTCTTTTTACTTATCCCAAGATAAGGAAACATTCGAGCGACGTTATCTATGCTCAATAAATGCAGAATCATCCGCATCTCAGCGTGGACCCATTTAGGCTTCCTCAACTTCGCTTCAAGGCTTTTTGGATGCTCCACACTGTCGAGTTTCAAGCACAGCGAGAGCTGCGGCGGAACCTCCCTAGATTCGTACCCAGGGAGGAGCACTATCTTCACGCGCTTCAGCCCAGCAATTTCGCGGGCTGCTTCGTGAAATGTGGCAAAAGAATGTCTGGGGCGACAGATGTATTCCATCTCTCGACCTTGCCGGTGGACTTTACTGGGTAAGAAGTTGTCCTTCAGTTGGGAGTAAAAGTCAGTGCTGTTGCCAAGGTCGTCGACCAGCTCCACGAACGCTGGCGGGGGGATTCGTCCATCCAAAAACGCTTTGAGGCAAGTAGTGAAGACCTTCATCTTCTCGCCTTTCCCCAACAAGTCCAGGAGAGCCTTCGCATGATGCTTCAAACGTGGGCTATAGTACATGCTGAACTCTTCGCGAAGGTCAAGAACATCCTCACTTAACAAACCTGGGAATGATTCAGTCAATGCGACTTTGCCCAGACTTTATCAGCCCTACCTCGTGATGCAACAACCTCCAGCATATTAGCCACCTTCTCAAGCAGCTCAATATCTGCGTCCACCCAGGGCGCATTGCGCGCCGCGAAGATTGTGGCCTCCTCTTCGCTCTCCATCAAAGAGGTGCAAGTAACGTAATCCGCTTCCTTCTTGCGGCAAATCAATTCAGCTAGTTGATCCAGAAACCTCATCCTGATTGACTTTATAGTGCCTGTTCCCAGTCGGCCTACGACGTCAGTAGCAAAGTTGCTGCCGATCTCGCTCTCTTCATCGTCTGAGCTGTCGGCCTCACGAATATCTTCTTCCCTCCCTGCTGCTAGAGGGGTGCGCTGTTGATGCTTGACATGGCATACTGTCGCTAAAGTTGTGATTTCCGACTCAATATCGGGTGGGAGTCGCCAGACGGAATCCCCAGCCTCGTCAAGGGATATCTCCACCGGACGTGAAAGAACTTGAACGTGTTGCATCGCTTATCTGACACCTGATCGGATTTCGGAGACGAATTCTAATGCAAATAATGCTTTGGCAATAAAGAATAGCTGCCGGAGTGATGATTGAAATGAGGTATGATCGCGGGCGGGGTAGGTGTTGGGCGCCTACAGGGGTTGCTTACCTGCAGCATGCATGGAAAGCCAAGGAAGGCTAGTTATATGAGGTATTTTATGGGTGTAGCCGCCGTATCTTCCACGACAGCCGACAGGAAAACTCTCCTTTATTCCACTCCCTCTTCCTTATTCAACGCACCAAGGAAACATAATACTAGATCACGAGTAAGCACACAGCCCTGACTACGTGAGATCAGGCACATCTATGAAAACCGCAGAATTTGGGATATGGCCTGTTCAGCTGACCTTCGGGCTGTGAGTTGTTCTGGATCTCTTTCACCTCTCACGTGAGCAGGGTAATAACCATAATTGCTTCTGCCAATGTTAAGACGCACGAAATATGGAAAGGCAGGCGAATCAAGGGTTCAACTTGCGGTAACTGATGAGCTCCTTCCTTCGCAAGGCAATCTGAGACTGCTGCTCAACTCTTCTGCTCACCTGTTCAGACGGATTTTGTTTCACTGAATTACGATGGCCTGCGTACTACAACCTGCGATTGATCAACTTACGCTCGATCTGGTCGGGGATGATATGCACCTCAGCTGGATGATAGAGACCATGTCCGTCTTACTCCATCTCCCTCACTCATAGACGTAGAATGTGATTGTGATGGGTTCTGGGTGTTAGGGTGTGATGTGGTGCTTTGCATGTCCTTACGTATCCCTCGTCCTCCAGCTGTTCAAGATATCTGTGTACAACTGATAAAATACATGTATATTGGTTGACCCGTACTTGACGTCCTGCTCTTCTGTATGCCGTCCTATCTCCCCTTCACCTTGATCATGATCAACCACTCCTGTGTTGTTTTGTGGGGCTCATCGTAGTTACAACAGGGTGGTACTGAATTTGGGGACATAAGGGCTTTCGGAGGCTGATGGTGAATGATGTTTCAATTTTTGAGGCTTTAGGCTGGGAGGAAGGGTGGTATGACCTGTATTTGGCAAACAACACCACCACGTAGATACCGCGATGGGCTCGCGCAGTTATAAACTGTGTTTTCAGATTCTAATCTGTATAAATGTACCCACTATATGGCAGTTAGGCAGTGATCTAAATTAACAGACCTAGAGGCAGGATATGATAGACAAGTGAATTCCTCGAGTCCATGACTTCCGTATAGGCTAATAACTGCTCAGATACGCCAACAGAAGGGTTACGGCAATAAGTAATGATATTAGAAAGGCCGTATCTGGAGACATAGTTGCTCAAACAGTGAGAAGCATTTAGAGAGGGCTGCCCAGTAACGGTAGCCTATCCTCTAAACATGAGTTAATTCTATGTATTGTCAGCACAAATCGAAGCTAAGGACAGCCTGGATGAAGTAGAGAAGCTTAGTACATACATGCATGGGCTGCTTTAGAGCTTGTTGTAGCGACTTTCTTACACTTTTTGGTACCCGTGAATTCGGCAACTCCTGGAGTGGCTTCCGTACACGCCCATACAACCTCAGTGAATTCACCTCGGGCATTTCGATAATTGTCCTCGCTAACATTGAATGTAATATTCGCTCTCCCTCTTGTAATCTCAATTTGTGGCTGAGGGCACCGTGAGAGAAGGCAGAGCCCCAGAGTGTTGTCTAGGTGTCTCTGTCGCAGAACGGACTCAAATTCGTGGAAAAAGGCAGAGTCAACGCCAGATAATAGATCTACTCTGGGATCTTTAGGACTCGAGAAACTAGGTTCGAAGAAGAACTCGAAAGGCATTAATCGGCCATGAAGGAACGCCCATGACTGGGGCTTGATGGTCCCATCGTCGTCACAAAAGCTGGCCAAACCTGGAACCGTCCAAGGCATAGTAGTCCCGTTGGACTCGACTAGAAGTTCGTCCTCGTTGACGTCGAAGTGGCGATGCACGAGGGTTAAACCAAGCAAGTCTGTTACGCCATATCGGATAAAGAGGTCTTTCAGGTCGGAGAATAATGCCTCTTTGTCACCGATGGACTGGAAAGCCTTGCTTGACTCACCCAGAAAAGGGAGACTGTTGAACTTCTCGGAAGTGTACTTATCAAAAAGCGCCATGTTTGGGGGACGTGGGTAACTGATATCTGTGAGATTTCTTCCGCAAATGCAGGTGTGGCGGGTATGATATGAAATGCGGGGACATGCTATTTGACGGTGCGACAGCGGCTAATCATAATATGGCGAAGTAGTTATTATTAGCGCTTAGCTGCATGCTCAAGTTGTTCCTCAGCCTAGCTCGCTCGATCATCTTTCATGAACGAGTAACGATTTCCTCGTCATCGACATGCCTGTAAAATCTCGGAAAGACTTCCAAGTCGCCATAATCTGCGCCTTGCCGCTAGAATTCGATGCGGTGGAAGCCTTACTAGACGAATACTATGACGAGACCATCAAGCGCCTTGGTCAACGCGGAGACGCCAACTGGTACCGGACCGGAAGAATCGGTGAACACGATGTTGTCTTGACCTGTCTACCGAATATGGGACAGGGAAGTGCTTCCAGCGCAGCTTCGAGTCTACTTATCAGCTTCGGCGGGATAAGTCTGGCATTGGTCGTGGGTATATGCGGAGCTGTACCGACCCTGCCTCAAAAGCGAGAGATCATCCTAGGCGACGTTATTATTAGCGACAGTATTGTTGAATATGGACTGGGAAAGCAATATCCAGACGGCTTCAAGCCTACTGTTCAAGTCAAAGATACCATCGGACGCCCGAACCGGGAAATCAGATCTTTCATTTCTGGGCTGAAGACTCGAAGCATGCGCCGCCAGCTTCAGGAGGAGCTCTCCAAGTATCTTGCGCAGCTACAGTATGACTCGGAAACTGATTGGAAGTACCCGGGAGCTATACATGACATCTTATTCGAATCGCACTATCGCCACAAGCACTACATCCACACACAGGATACCGCATGTTTGTGCGTCCGATGCCAGTCCAGGTCTGACCCGGTATGCGACAAGGCTCTGGAGGGAGATTGCAGTACCCTGGGGTGTGCAGGCCCACGAATCGAACGACAACGCCTATCCTCACACAGCGCGCCAAAGCCCTTGATTCACTTTGGTGCCGTGGCCTCAGCTGATACAGTAATGAAGTCTGGTGAACACCGCGATGCCTTGGCGCAAATGAGCAAGGTAATTGGATTCGAAATGGAAGGGGCAGGAGTTTGGGATAACCTAACGTGCCTTGTTATCAAAGGCGTGTCAGACTATGCTGACAGCCACAAGAGCAAGTTCTGGCAGAACTACGCCGCGGCTACAGCGGCATCTTGTGTAAAAGCATTTCTAACTTTCTATGCAAAAGAAAATCATGAGCAGGGTAGGCAAAAACCCGTACCCATTAATGGGTATCGTTACTAGTCTGTTGAAAGCTTACTCTACTTTAGTGCTTGTCAAAGTTGAGCAAACAGGAATAGTCACTGATAGCCCAATAGCCCCTTCGCGGCCATTATGTGGCTGTATCTGCCACAAAACATATCGCTTTACTACTCCCAAGTCCTTATATGATTATCTTGGAGCAGTCTTTGTCTCCCATTCTGGGTTTCCAGCAATGACACGACAATGCAATGATCCTTACTGTCAGCGGCCAGCTGAACCATCCGGCAACGTAACTTTGCATTGGCCTCCGTGGCTTTCAACAAAGGTCCTCACCTTTGCTTTCTCACATATCCCTTCACCTGAGATGTTATTACGGATGTCCAACTCGATTCCCAGAAGCGCTGAAGTTTTTAAGTACGCTGCGAATGGGGACATCCTTGGCCTACAGTCGCTTTTTGACCTTGGGAAGGCTTCCCCTTTCGACGTGTGCTCCGTTAAGGGACAATCGGCGTTACGTGTATGGCGGAAATCTTCAACCCTCTGTTGGAGAAAGCTAACTTATACAGTATGCTGTCTCAAAGAACCAACTCGATGTTTGCGAGTTCCTCTTACAAAAACAAGCTGACCCGTTTCTCGAAGATCGAACTAATCTGTGCGGCAAACTGGATCCTTACAGAGACGAACAACGAAGCTGACATCTCACAGTTGCGCCTTTGATATTGCGTGGAACAAGATATTCTCGGGAAAAGCTAGCAGAGACATGCAAGCTCGCCTGCAGGCTCTGTTCCTGAAAACTGATAGACTTGAGCAGCGTGGCTTCTCGAAGCTCCACCAGGGGATCCTTGGTCTTCGACATGTCAATCTCGAAGAAGAACTCCGATTTTCCTCCCGGACAGCTATCAACCAAAAGGATGCAGATGGTCGGACTGCGGTATCTTGGGCTGCTTGGAGAGGAGACATCGATGCGGTCGAGCTGTTTACCAAGTACGGATCCGACATTAAAATACCCTCTAAAAGGCAAATAGCCCCGATTCACTACGCCCTGGAAAGCGGAAGTGCCTCTGTGGTGCAATTTCTACTCAACACAGGTGCAGACCCGAACCATCCTAGCGATGAGGGATTAACTCCTTTACATTGGCTGATTGCAACCCATGACCGCCCTGACCTTGTTCAATTGTTGGTTGAATATGGTAGTGCTCTGAACTGTGGCGACTTTACCGGGACCACGCCGCTCATGACTGCCGTGCAGCATAATCGTCCTCGAAGCGTAAGAAAATTGATCGAGCAGGGTGCCAATCTTGAGGAAGAAGACGAAGAAGGGTGGACGGCCCTCAATTTGGCTATCTTCATGAATCGACACGAATGCCTCAAGATTCTTCTCGATGCCCAGGCCAACTGCGAACACATCACTAGTGACGGCAGCTCAATACTACATTTTGCGGCTGAGAATGCGGATCTCAAGACAATGCAATCGTTAGTTCGACGTTCCTCGCACCTTCATTTCCCGATTGATAGCAAACGGCAGGAGGATGGCCTTACAGCTTTGGAGCTTGCGGAGGAGAGGACCGTCACAGATGAATGGCAACTGATGTTTCTAAAGTTATGTCAGTGTACATGATGTGTTGTTCCCGAGCTTGCACTTCGGCGTGTTCCATTATTGGCACTAAATCAGGGCCATATTGCACCTCAAGTTGCGGGCGTTGTTGAGTTGAATCTACAGGCAAACCGGAAGTTAGGGCTAACGCGCCCTAAAAGAAATATATTAGAACCGGTATCTGGTCCTTGATTGATTCTCAATACATTTTACAATTAACTTTTGTGCGCTGCAATGACAGCTAGTGGCCTTAGGATTGAGCTTTGTAGAATAATGTACTTTTTAAGTGTATCATAAAAAATCTATGCAAATCAGGTTCTATCAGGTGCAGGTTCGAAGGTCCGACCTTTGGAACCTGGGTCGGACCATTTCGAGTAATCACGACCTTCAACCACAGCTACAGCACATCCACCAAAAAAATTGTTACAGCTTCTCCTGGACCTCCTCGGTCTCCTGGCCACTGTCACTGCTGAGGCCAAGCTCCTTCCTCTCAGGCATGCCATGGTCGCTGGTATCCAAGCCCAGCTCGCGAGACTGTTGGATGATCTGATCGAAGCTGAGCTTGGGCATGTCGTGGGCGACCCTGAACGGCATCTTCCCTTCGATATGGGCTTTGGCGTAGATGATGTCGACCTCCTCAATCTCACGGCCGGCTGTCTCAACATAGAAGAAGTAGCCGAATATCAAACCGACAAAGTTAAATAGTGCGAAGAAGAGATAGACACCCCATGGGCTCTGGCCAGCGAAAAGCGGTGTGAACATGACCACGGCAAAGTTACAAATCCAGTTGGTACAGGTTGACGCCGCCGCGCCCACGGTACGGGTCCGGAGGGGGTTGATCTCTGGTGGGTAGATCCAGGGCAGTGGCAAGAGAGTGAATGCGAAGAAAGTGATGAAGAGAAAGATGCCAACAGCAGCACCCTTAGAGTTCTCCTCGGTTTCTTTGATTAGGCAAGCGAACGTAATAACGAAGCTAAGCCCCTGGCCTAGAAAACCAATCAAGTATAGTTTTCGACGGCCGACTTTCTCAATCATGAAAAAGGACGGGATAGTTGCAATGGCGTAAACAGTCGCGAATACTCCGCCCATGATTAGCGACAGATATTTCTCCATATGCAGGTTCTCTTGGAAAAGCAATGTCGAGTAGTAGATAGCAGCGTTACAGCCAGTAAACTGCTGGAAGAACTGACCAGAGCACCCGATAAGAAGGCGCTGGAATTCCTGGGTTTTGCCAAATGTGAATACTCTCTTCCAGTTTGACTGCTCGCTCTTTGAGGCCTCCATGTCCGTTTTTAAGAGGTTGTAGTCGTGAAGTACTTCATCGGAATCAGGGGAGGCGCCCTTGAGCTTCCCGAGAACTTCACAAGCCTCCTTGTCAAGTCCTCTCATTACAAACCACGATGGGGAATCCGGGAGCAGCAAGGCACCGGAGGCCACAACCAGAGCGAAAAGGATCTGAAGCGCCACTGGGAATCGCCACTGGACGGAATCCGCGGCGTGCGAGATACCGAAGACAACCCAGTAGGCAATAAACGTGCCACCGGCGATCATCGCGCCCTCAAAACAGACCAGGAAGCCACGATTGTGAGCGCCGGAGCATTCCGATTGCCAGACCGGGATCGTGGCCGTGTTCATGCCATTTCCAATGCCCGATACAACACGGCCAATGACGAACTGACCAACTTCCCATTTACCAGTGAAGCAGACCGTTGTAAGCAAGGCGCCGACGATCAGGACACTGGCTCCCATGAAGATCAGCCGAGTGCGGCCGAGTCCGTTGCCAAAGAACATGGAGAATAACGCGCCGAAGAAACAGCCAAGCTCATAGCAGGATGTGACAGCACCGCGGATGACATTGATGTAGTGTTCCTGCCCCTTAGTCGGATTGTCGGGCATTTTGAGGATTGGAAAGGAGTTAACAAACTCGTCGCCATTGAGAAGGCCGGCCATCATGCCCTGGTTGTAGCCAAAGAGCGAGAAACCCATGACAGCGGCGAAGGTGACGCTCAGCCGGAGCGACCGACCACTCAAGCCGCTGGTAGTCGTCCACATGTTGATGGCAGGGACAAAGAGCCGTCAGTTTGTGGGGTGGGGTTGGGGTAAAAGAAAGCTGGGGAAAAAGTAGTACGGAAAAAGGGAGTACGTGGAAGCAGGAATATTCGCGGTCTTATAGCAATACTGACTTCGACTGCAACCTTGGTCCGACCCCAAACAGGAAAGTCCAGCGAACTTCCCGAGGTGGAGACACCCCAAAGAATCCCGTTCCCTTGGCACTTGGCGGAACCAATTGGCACTTTGGTACTCTGCAGATCGACTGGTCAGTGTGTGGGTGGAGTAACTTTGAGGCCGCAGGGCCTGATTTCCAGTATCCAGTAGAGATTTAGCATGGCTAAATCTCTGCTTGACATTCTACCATTATTTCCTCTCCGTAATGATTGATTCATGCGAGTCTGCCCCCCTTTGGACTTAGGCCCCCCGGGGTTTTGCTCTCTGGCGCGCATGCTTGTTGTCCTAGGATCTTTATATGCCTCCAGATCCATTCAGATCCTTCATCCATCTTTCTTTCTCGTTTTCTGTTCCCTGTGCCAGCTCCCTGGAGTCACCGCAATCATCGCGTACTCTCCTCCTCTTTGCGACATGATGTCATATTATGCATACTTGTATTCTACTATTACAGTTTTCATCTGGAGCCGCCAAGACCTTAGTCGCCCCAGTATGACGTCGCAAACTTTTTGCGAAGTTCCCAATTCAACGCTGGTCCGAATGTGCCCGGCTATTTACGAATCTTCGGGCCAATGACATCCAGATACCTTGTGGCGAAACAAAAGGCATGCGAACTGGGGCAATTTCGCTTAACTGTCTCTTTTGTGTCAAGCCACCCGCCACGCGGTCAGGTCGGTTCGCGCCCCAGGGCTCACAGGCGGGGCTCTTTCATATCCGGGGCTGACCATCTGCACGTGGTATACCGTCGTTTCAGGGGATTACCGGCCCGGGTTATCTCGGCTTACCTTCCAAACGGCTCCCATCGCCTCGGGGGATTTAGGTGGGGTACTCCGTATGGCCCACATCCTTCCTTAACTGTATTTGTCGAGGCGTAGTGGGTTTCGCCTTTTCCAGGTGACAGAGGCAGAAGTGACATCACTTCCTTTCCCTAAACTTTTTTGATGTGCTCCGATGTGCTCGCAGGCTCGTGGAACGGTTCATTGGAACGAAACCGCTTGACATTGCAGGTATCGGGCAAACTTTGCAGTTTCTTTTTGGGGATACTGAATACATGGAGAATATTGGGGATGTATTGCGAAATGCCAAGTTCCAAAAGCTACTGGAGAGAATCGTTTAGATATGAATACCAGGAGCGAAGAGATAAGGCGCACGAAGCGGTGGATGACCTTGAGAAAAGTGTTTAAGGGGCAGAGTTGGTGGGTATATATGATATATTCTTCTAGTTACATAATTATTTGTGCTAGATTTGCAGCCCTTCCTTTTGAAAAGGAAATACCAAATGGTGTCTTATCGAGGACTGCTTTAACTGGGGTCTTGGACACTCCACTCTCTTTACTGGGGATTTGGATAATGAGATCAGAATTTGAATGTGGAGATGGTGCGGTGCCTCAGAGGAAACGGGATTGCGTAAGTGGCTCCATATATGCTATGGGTCAGTCCAGGGCAGTTTTGTTGCCTGAAGGTGTTAGAACCATGGCCCGGCGGAATGAAGATCGGCCAGCAGCCAATCTACATTCAACGGATTAATACTTTCACCGCGCCACTTTCTGGTTGCCAACTGAGAGAAAGCGATCATCACTTATTATTGGGTTGCCAGCAGTACCGCCTATTCAAAAGATCTCCAGCTTACTAAATAATGACTAAGTGGCGTCGAACCTCGCCGCTGGCTATGTTCCGACAATAACAATGTATCCAGCAACACCACCATTGTTGTTGCGCCCGTGGCCTGACTTCTATTGGATTTCGTGAGATTGGATTTTCTGCTTGCTTGGGAGCTTACTGACCTGTGATTCTTCTTTTGATAGATAATGCGGCACGAAAAGCCCAGGGATTGCATAGGACTGGTGCTATTAGACTACTCGAGTGGAACTAACATATCTCTCACTCCTATAGTTAAAGCGTTTTCTCCGCCAGGCAGTTCCCACAGCAAATCATCTTTACAATTGGACTTCAGAGATCTGAAGACTGCAAGAGATGTTCAGGATCAAACTGCTTAATTCAGGGACTCTGTGAGGAATGTACAAAGTCTCCACCTAGCCCTATTACTCAGGAAGTTAATCAATCTAAAAGCGTGCCACACTACTATGGGAAAGGCATTCTTGTAGAACATGAGGCCAGGCGGCTTCAGGAGGCAAACACCCGCCAAATCGCAAGACTAGGAGGTCTATATAGCTTCCGGAGGCATTCGGGCAGTTTCAGAGGGTCAACAGTGCGCCCAGCAAGGCCTTGAAGCAATTGAATTGACGGAAGAGGAAGGTAGTGAGCCACCACGAAAGCGCGCTGCAGCGACTACTTCACAATTATGACCATACTAGAACTAGGCATCCGGATAGATCTACCACCTAGCGAGCGATTTAAAAATGCAAGACATGCAATCTAGCAACCATTTCATCGATCGGGCTAGTCATCTATTAATAAGCTATGTCAGTTACCAAGCCTAAGAAAGTAAACAAGATTGGCTGTTGCCACCTGGTTGCAACAAGCATCCGTCGACCTTAGCCATGGGCATTAACATCACCACAGTTCAACTGTTTGATGACTGACCTGATTCGTTGAGGCAATTGGACGTAAGCATCAAAGTGATAGGAGAAACAACAGCCAGTCATTCCTTTAGTCAAATACTACATCAAGTCAGACGCTCCGCACAACATGTACTAGTGGCTTTCGAAATCCACCGGACTTGATATTTTGAAGCTATCTAAAACAATCGAATAATCCTAGCCAATGGGAATAGCTATTTTCAAGGGAAAAATGGCTCATCGCTTCTGTCCCGCAGCTCGCAGGAATCAAGGCTTCTGGTT